CCGGGTTTAACATGCCCTCCTACGGATCCTTTCATGATCAGTCTTGGAACAACATGTTTCAGACACCCGTAGCCAGCCGCGGAGGATCCAGCCGCGGAGGATCCAGCCGTGGAGGATCCAGCCGCAGAGGAGCCAGCCGCGGAGGAGCCAGCCGTGGAGGCACCCGAGGAGGCACCCGGCCCGAAGAGTCTGAAGAGCCCGAGCAGCCCCAAGAGCCCAGTGATTTTCATTATTATGAATGAGTGTAATAATATATTTTTTGATTTAAATGTGTATGAATGAATTTCTTTTCTATTAAATTGTTTATGCATGAATTTATCAATTTTCTATTAATGTGTATGAGTGAACTTATGTAATATTTAATTCTGTCAAAATAATTAAAAAACATATTACAATTTTTTAAAAATAAATTGTAAAAATTCTTTTCAAGTATTGTTTTAATACTATTTTAAAATAGTTAAATTAATAGTTATAAAAATTTTAATTATTTTTTTTTTAAAATTAAAAAAAAATAGTCACGGACTAATTCCGTGACTAAACTAGTCCGGAATTCTTTTTTCGAAACAATTTTTTTTTTAAATTAAAATAACTAGTCACGGATTCTGACCGTGACTAATTTGAAAATTTGAATTCGTAGTCTGAAAATTTAAAATTTTGAATTTGAAATTTTGAATTTTTGAAATTTTAGTCACGGATTATGACCATGACTATTTTGAAAAATTTGAATTTTGAATTTGTAGTCACGAACAACATCCGTGACTAAATTTAATTTGCCTGGTCGGAAAAGTACTCCGGTGACAGTGTAGTCACGGAAATGGACCGTGACTAGTCCGTGACTAAACTTAGTCACGGACTATGGTCCGTGACTTAAGTTAGTCACGCCTGAGAAGTCTCGGATTTTGGCCATGACTATGTCCGTGACTAATTGAGTTAGTCACGGATTTTTTACACTACGATCCGTGACTGAGTCCGTGACTACAACGCGGATTTTTTGTAGTGATATATGAAGTATTTGATGGAATGTTTTTCACTTGTTTTGTTGGGCAAGATGAGTGTCGGCGATTGGAAGGTTTGAATTCACTTGATTAAACACAAGGGCACGACAACTACTAACATGGGCGATTGGAAGATTTGAATTCACGTCTTCAACACCTGGTGACGGCATAGCACGAGCAAATGATTGGAAATTGCGTGTCTCTCGGTCAAGTTGCTCTGCATTTCAATTAATAAAACGGCGTCTAGGGATCGGCACATCATGCACATGGTTTGCCGATCCCATGGTATAAATTGTGTTACTCTCCAATTTTATTTAGTCTTTTAATGGTTAATTGCTAACAAATGGCAATACACTATACACCCTGATTTTCTGATATGGATTCTTGAAGAATGAATTTCATCCCAATTGTTAACACTTCCGAAAGAACTTCATTAACTTTATGTTCTTAGATAAATTTTTCTCAAAATGAGGCCACGCATTCTACATTTTTATATGATTTTCTATTGATATGTATCACTTTTATTCTATATTCAATTAATTGGTACTCATTTCCCCATTAATTTATTAATAAACACAAATTTCTGATAATGTAGGTGAACTCAATTCTCCAACTTAAATTATGGCCTAAACTTAGATGGTATCGAAGTACTCATTTGACTCATACAATAGTTAGTACCTAAGCTAATACTATTATTAATGTGTCATCTATGATATTTACTCATTAAGAAATACATGACCGAGTTTGTGTTCAAGAAGAGGCTTGATATTATATTTGTTATATTTAAATAGGTAGTAATTCATATTATTAAAAGTTTTCATATTTAAAGCTTAGTACTTCATGTTATGATTGGACTAATTAAATTAGTTCGACCAACTCAAAGAGAAATCAGGCACATAGGTAATCATTGCAACAAATCAAAATTTTACTCTACTTGTAATAATATCAGTATCACAAGGTCATTAGGAAATTTTAAGCTTTTTGATGACACTAAAATTAGTTGAATCAAATGATTATAGTGAAATTGGTAAATTTTGATTGAAACTGCTAAATTGGCTGAATCCAGTGAATTGTGAATAAATTATATTTAAAATTTACGTATTATTTTATTAATAAAAAGAAAAAACTTTTATAAAAAATAGTTAAAATCGTCAACTTTAGATAATTCAGTCATTTCAGGCAGAAAAGTAACTCTAATATTACTTAATTTTACTATTGCACAATTCAATGTGCAAAATTAAAAATTACATACTTGGTATTTGATAAAAAAACTGTCTAAACTCGAAAATTAAATATAACTAAGAAACTAGTTTCATGACATCATCATCAGAAAATTAAATATAATTAAAATACTACTTTCCATCATTCAAAAGTTGAGAAGTCGAAACTCGAAATATATCATTAATGAAGGCCATGAATCAAACCGAATCAAATAAAAAAAAATCAATAAATACTTCATATATTATTAAAAAATAAAAAATCCAAACTGAACCAAGCTGAATTAAACAAAATCAAACCAAATTGAAAAATAGCATTATTTTTTTTTGGTAATAACTCTTTCAATCCGTTCTAAACCAAACCTATCCGAAACTGGTAAAACTGAGAAAATCAATATGCCCACCCCGATATCATTCAAGTATTTACGCATTTCTTATTAATTATGCCAAATTCAAATTATTTTATCCTTACTGGCTATATCCCTCCGATTAAAATTGTGGCATGAAGCGAGTGCGCGCATGACACAGTTATTAATAAAAAAAATTGTATCACTGATGTTGAGCCATATAAATGTTGCAAAATATAACTTGTCAAAAATTTAGAAACACAAAAAAAATTGACATAGATAAGTGGAGGGAGTATTGGATATGTCTGATATAGGTGTCCCCAGGCCAGGGCGAGAGAGTATCCGGGCAGCGCAGATATGATGAATGCATTATGTGGGAGATGATGCAGGCAGAGCACTGCTTTTAACAGATTAAAGGGTTAAAGTGGATGTGTGTATATCTAAAAGGCAGCATGTGATGTAAAAGCATGCATCATATCATCAATCACATGCACATGCATACCTAGTCCTCTGTCTCCTTAACCATTTAGACTCGGTACGTACGTGTAGTGACCCTCAATTCAATCCATAAAGCTGTAGGAAGTTTGGGGGAATAATTAAGGTTCATCACTCGAAATCACGAATCGAAACGTAACGACCGTGTAAATGTTAGAGTTCTTTTTTAAACGACCATGTAAAAATATATATATTGGCTTGGGCCTATGATACACACGATTATAAAATCTCACGGTGACAAATTATTAATTAATAGTGAATGAAAGAAAAGATACTCCCTCCGTCCCAAAATAAACTTTTAACTTTCCTTTTTCGTCCGTCCCAATTAAAACTTCCACTTTCCCTTTTTGGCCTAAATATGTGGTTCACAACAATTCTTACGCATTTCTCTTTCCTCTGCACAACTCTCCACCACACAATACTCACTATCTTAAACTGTGTGCCAAACCTATTTGGAAGTTTAATAAGGGACCGAGGGAGTATTAGATTCTATAAAATATAAATAGGGCTAAACTTGAATATATTTCTCTAAACAGAAGCATCATATAGTCATTTTCTTTCAAATATAAGATGCTTAGTTTTATGCTCTATGTCATTTATATGGGAGTATATCTGTTTTTTTTCAAAACCATTATTAAAATGAAATTAATTTGTAAAAATATGACTACAAGTTACATCATCGTATAACAGTACGTATGATGTCGTAGTTAGTTAAGTGTAAATATTGAGTATTAATTATCTTGACAAAAGTTAATATTATAGTCACTTGTCATTACACTTAATTAGGATGTTTTCTTTTGGACTGTTTTCAGTCTCATACCAGACCATACCAGACCAGATTTAAACAGACCAGACTTCCATAGTTATAAAATACACAGAGACCAGACGTTTACCAGACCAGACCAAACCAATTCAGACCAGACCAGACTTAAACAAACCAGACCAGATCAGACCAGCAAATTCCAGTCCAAAAGAAAACATCCTTAAAGCATCAAATTTTTATATACAACCTTTTTTTAATAATAAATTAAATACTCCGTATATAATTATTTCTATATTTTACTTAAAGAATTACTAGTATTTAATTAAAAAAAGAGCGGATACCCTTACGTACGTAGTAGACACGCCTTACCTATGTTACGTACGTACTTAATTACGTCCCTAGCTAAACTAATACACTTCATAGAACCTTGTACTTCAAGATTTTAATTTCTTGCATCTGTCAGTCTGTCACACATAACAGAAATACTTTATGTCCTTAATTAACTTGGGGGCATTAGCTAATAATAGTAGAATACGTATTTCAGTGCCGTGATTATAGAGTTAAGTTGTAGCATCTCTCAAAGTTGAAATCAAAATAGAAATATGGTATTTAAAATTTAAAAAAACATTGTACATATACTCTCTTTCCCACAACAATTATGTAAAGAAAATTTATTTGAAAGATATATAAATTACTTTGTAGTAAGTTATTAATTTAATAATTTCTGTCACAAACATGGCATAGCTAGGGGCCAACTTAGACATCGGTCAACCCAAACAGGGGAGGATCTATGTACGGACTATGATAGGCTGAAACCCAGGGCAACTTAGAAAATTTTCAATTTTTTTACTGTAATTTTTTTCATTTTTCACGTTTAGTCCACCCCTCTAATATTTAAACCTAGTATAATTTTTATTCAGCCCAGAGCATCTCAAATTCCTGGATCTGCCCCTGATTGTCCAAGTTTAAAAAATATCTAAAATATTGGTGTAAAATATTTTGTACCGATAAGGCGATAATTATTGTATTAAAGTGTTTATACTGTTGAACAAAATACTTACGAAATACTCTCAATATATCCATAATAATAAGTTACCAATAATAAGTTACCAATAATCGGATTGCAATCATATATGCGCAAGATGAATTGCGATATTCGTTTGGTGGTAGTTGATAATGGATGTAGGAACTCCATATTTATTCCGGAAGGTAGGGATAAGTTGGGTTTTTGTCTATTTATCTCGACTTTATTAAGTCGGATAGAACTATTAAAAGAGATGAAAAAGGGGGCAATGGAGAATGATCTGGGTGATCAAGGGGTGGTATGCTCAAACACAAAATTTGAGGATTATGTGACTGTGGATACTGTATCCTCCATGCTCTTTGAGGAGGATTTATTCTTGAATGGCTATTTATCTTCTTCTATTAGTCCCCTTGATACCGAATGCTTTAATAGAGAGATTGTTACTTTGAGGGAGGAATGTCCTAAGGATGTGCCTAGGGAAGCGGAGGAGGATATTGTAAGGGAAGTTATGCATGCTACACCTATTCAAGTTTCACTCCCTATGCAGATTGAGCATAGAGTAATCAAAGGTGTTTCTCAATCTGATTCAGACGATGCTTCTGATGGCTCTTCGGGTTATGATTCAGATAAAGAGTTGCTTGCTCGTTTAAGTGATCCTAATTACAAAACAGCAACTCAAATTGAGCTCAGACGAAGTGCTCGCCTTCAGGCTAAAAATAAGGGATGCTAAAGAATTTGTGATGCCTTTTACGCACGCTTTGGGATTTTTTTGGGGGTCAAGTTAATTGGGTGCTAAGACAAGAAATGGTGTGCAGGGGTGCAATTAGCATGGGTGAGCAAAGCTGAAATTTATTGACTAGGGATTGAGATTCACACTTACAATTTTAATTTGGAGGATGGCCTTAGTTTTTCTCTAAATAGCTTTAAATTCTCTTCCCTCATTAGCGATTGTACTTTTTTATTTTCATTAATAAAATGTTTCTTTTCAAAAAAAAAAAGATGAATTGCGATATATGCTCTGATTTGGAATTGAATTCTTATAGAAAGTATATAATCTGGGGTGACAACTCCGGTACCCATTTAAAAAATGGGGTAGCGTACCTATCATGTATTTGATTGGTCCAAATCATTATACTCTTTAATTTAGATTTAAATAATTCAACTGCATCATTTTGATTGGTCCATGTGAACAAAGGTATGGTACTTTTGGGTACCATAGAATCTACCATAATCTGGTATAAAAGGTGAATTTATCTCGCGGTAGTGCGGTACATCCGACTTTTACAATTAAAGGCTTTTATCTATTTATGTACACGTACTACTAGTCTACTTTGAGTCATTTTTTTTCATCAATGTATTAAAAAAATTATAATAAAAATTATTAAATTCTTCACAAAGTGAAGTTTCAACATATGTTTTAATTTCTTATATTTTAATAATATAGAATTAAAAAGTTAATAGTCAAAATTGTTGGCATGGTGTGGGCTTGCTTATCTGAAAATATGATGTCTCTTTATTGGATTTCAGCTTTCATCTAGTGCGTGGTACCCATATACCATACGCTGGTAGGCAAGATATCCTTGCCAAACGTTTCGGTTTCCATTTTCATTTGGTGTAATATACTACTCAGTGTTACAACTGTTCATAATTAGCCGCACAAATTTGCAAACTGTTTAGTGGTGTAAACATGTATTGCGGCCAATAGCCCTAGTCATTGTAATTTGAATACTAAAAGATATTCCCTCTGTCCCTAAAAGAAGTTCTATTTCGCTTATCGAGGGTCAACTTAAATCACTTTTAAACTCTTACTTTTTATATCAAAATTTTATAAAAGTTGAATTATTTTTTGCAGGCTTTGTAGCGGGTTTAATGTAGTTTCTGAATATGTAAATTTTATTTACTAAAAATAATCCGAGTTTTCACAGGGATCATTTAATTTTATCGTCGGTTAACCTTCGTAATCCGCAATTGGAACACCATTTAGGGACGGAGGGAGTATAATTAAAGTACTACTCCGTATATATTAAACCAAAAACGATTAGATAATGGATCTCATAGATAGTACGTGTAATGAGATAATAATGCTTTGAAAAAACTGTTGTTACACATTTTTTGTACACACACTTACACACTCGTGTCTGTGAAGTGTTTTTTTTTTGCTGTATACAGACACAACGCATTTGAAGTGTCTGTGAAATGAGTTGTGTCTGTATACAGACAAAGCAAAACACTTCACAGACACGAGTGTGTAAGTGTGTGTACAAAAATGTGTACCTTAAGCCTGGTTGATTAAATAAACTCAAGCCATCACACGTAGAAGTTTTTTTTTACCGGACGCAGGTTGGGCAAAAATTTGGAGGCTTGAAATACCATCGAAGGTTAAATTATTTTTATGGCAAGCTTGCGTGGATGAATTGCTTACCTAGAAAACAACGGCTAATCCAAAGGAGAGGGTTTTTTCTTCGGTGTGGGTTGTATATAAGGCACACCGGTGTGGGTTGTGAGGTGGACCACTCTTCTCTGGACACTTGTACTCATTAAACCACATCACCTTTTCCCTTGATTGGGAGTATTTGCGTCATGGCCCAGGCCCCTCTAGGCAAATACACGTATTTGTACTCCAGGTACTGACACTTGTTCCGATATGAATACACATAAGGGGTTTTCCCTTTTTTACCCTCGCACCACTCGTATTCCGCACAACCGTACGCCAACCTCCGTTCATCGCCTTGAATATCCTCGGGCCGGTTCGTCTTTCTTTTTCCGGTAATCACTGTCATGGATTTTCAAAGATTGTTGATTTTAATGGTTTTCCATTCAATCTACTAGATTTTGAGGGACTTTTATCCAGTTTCTGGCTAAAATTTATTGGGGAGAAGGGAGACCCGCTGCGCTAGATGGGAGAGAGTAGAAGCCTGGGTTGAGTAGGTTATTCGATGGAGATGATTCTGAAATCCGAGCGGGTGGGTGAGATTTTCTATGTAGTGTTTTTTTATCATTCCATTCAGTTCCGCGAAAATCATTCCAGTAAATAAAGATTGAAGTCTGTAGGTGGGTTGTTTGAAGGCACACGTATTCCAATACATTTGCCTGTGCATTGGAACAACATTGTGCTTCAGTGGATAGTGTGCCTGTTACTATTTTGGTGTTCAATTTCAATATAAATTTGAAATCTGAAGTTTTCTTTTCCTGATTTCTTCTCCAGGAAGTTGTAAAAGATCTCGAAGTTGAAGCAGGAGAGATTTAGAAGAAGGAGAGTTATTATTCATTCTGAATGAGAAGGGTACAACAAGTGTATATACACATTTAGGCTAACAGTATTACAGTTGAGTCTATAACAACTTGTCTAACAAGACTCTAACTAACTAAGCACATCTGCAATTTGAAAAGGTGCAGGAATGTGATAGACTTCCAGTTGTTTCAAATGAACTCTTTGTCGAACAATGTATAGATCAAGCTCCATATGCTTGACACGAGAGTGTCGAACTGGATTGTGAGCTAGACTAACTGTGCTTGGGTTATCACAGTGAACTCTGGGAACACAGTATGAAGCTTGAATATCTTAAAGTAAGGACTTAATCCAAAGGATCTCTCTGTGGTATCTGCAAGACTTCAGTTGATGATCTGGCAACACAGGCTCTTGACCACCATGAAATAAGATTAGGACCAAGAAGAGAGAACAAGTATATCATCAACATAGATGAGAACATAGATTCTAACACTGTTGTGAATGAAAATAAGAAGAGAGGGATCTCATCTGGATTGCTTGAAACCAATACTGTACGGGGCAGAGGTCAGTTTAAGAAACCAGGCTCTGGGAGCCTGTTTACATTTGAAAATGCATACAGTTACATCAGAATTTCCCTAAAGTTACATATTGTATACGGCGCGTTACATGTCAACTTTTCTTAACAAGTTACATCATGTTTACAATTGATTTACAATTTCTAAAACGCGTGTTACATTACAATATAATGCGAGTTACACAACCTAATAAGTAATAACCCTCTTCTATTCCAATATCATTTTTATAGCCCAAATATTAAAAATAAAGCATATTCATAGTTTACATAGAGCGATTGTTCAATTTGTAATTAAACTATGGATTTCACAAGTTACATTTCGAATTCACTTGAGTTACATTGATCAAATATCTTGGAAATTGCAATGAAATAATTACATTGGACAAATGAAGAGACACGCTAGAAGTTTGTATTAAATTAATTAAGTATTAGTATTGCGGATATATTCTTCTATTTATGCTAAGGAGATACTCTTATTTTTACTATAGAATTCTTTTATTCTTAGCAGTAGTATCCTATTGTCATTCTCCTTCCTCCAACTTAGTTGCTATCTTTTGTACTCGGCAATCTCTCTCACGTCACCAAGGTCGAGTTCATGCTCAAGGCGAGGACGAGGTAGAGGAGGCTATAGGCCATATGAGAAGGTCTACAATAACAGGCCGACCGGGAGAGACCAAAGGTCGTGGCAGAGGAAGGGCGGTCGAGTTTACGCCTTACGGTGAGTGTTCTAACTGTGGAAAGTATGGACATTTTGCCGGAGACTGTTGGTCAAAATTTCCTCTGGTCAAATTTCCTCTTATTTGACCAACAGTCTCTCGCTAAATTGCCATATTTCCACAGTTATATATGACCAACGGTCAACAGTCTCTTATATAACATCCGCCTTCAACTCGGCCACCGCTTCCTCTGCCACGACCTTGGTCTCTCCCGGTCGCCCTGTTCTCGTAGACTTTCTGATCTGGTCTATATCGTGCTCTACCTCGTCCTCGGCCATGAATATGAACTCGTCCTACCGCATGCACTCAATAAATTTTGTACTGTTGTATTTCATAAATGCATGTTTCCATAATTTTAAGCACTGCCATCCTACTAAAGCTCAAAGAAATGTCTTCGTCATCAACAGGAAGTATTTGCAGGACGAAACATTAAGATGTTTCGTTCCAGCATCCTCTCTCCATCAACAAGCTCCTACAGGATGGTTCGACTACCCTGGATTTTTTCAAAAAATTTTAGGGATGAAAGGAAAGGTAGGACTGCTTCGTGGACTGAAGGTTTGGATTTTGGAGGACTCTTGTTGAGGTGAAAAGGACATTATACAGGTTGAAGTGGTTAGTGGTGAATTCGCGGGTGAGGAATGCAATGGTAAGAATGTCATCATGTCATCCCAAGCAGCAGATGGGCCATCAAATTACTACCTTTATGACTTGTAGACGTCTGGGTGTGACAAACCTCCCTCCATTCAAGTGCACGGACGGAATTTTAGGAATTCCATCAGGTCGTTGTGTGGTTGAACTATTGAACTAAGTAGAAAACATTGTAGATGTATAAAATATTAATTACGCAACCCGGTTAGTCCACTATATGTTATTATGATTTAAGAATGTTATTTTTCTTGTTCTTGTTCTTTTTCTTGTTAAATATAGTTATTGTCGTTGTTGTTGACTTGTTGTTATTAGGAAGTGGGGGGGGGGGGGGGGTTGATAGCCTTTAACAAAGTAAAATTTTCGTCACTTCACAATTCCCAGCGAAAGTTTGGGATGCCTTGAAACTGTCAGCGGAAATCTTGGCCTCATATAGTGTGACACTTATAGCAACAAAGGTTGTGACCCTTTTAGTATGGTAATGAGATGGATTAGACAATAATCGAAGTATTCATGAAGTGTTTAAGGACTTCAGATAGTTAGTGGCAGGGTACTAAATGGTTAGAAGCAAGCTGCTAGTGACTTAGCAATAGACACTCTAAGGTGAAGGCTGTTTGAGAGTTGGGTTGTGGATCGGTGTTTAGGACAACTCTTGATCAAGTCTTCTTTGATTTGCCTCTTCTAACTTCTTCTTGGCCTCCTCCTTGGCTCTTGCTTCTTCTTCCTTTCTTTTCTGATATCTTTCTCCTCTTGAAGTAGTGTGTTCTTTCTTCTTGTCTCTGCTCCTTTCCTTGCTGCGAGCTGTCTTGAAGAGGAGGGTACTAAATGGTTAGAAGCAAGC